TTATGATGGAGACTAGTGTATTGGGAGCCATTTTTGGTGTGCCCACTGATGGGATGTCATCCAACATTTGTCTGACAGTGAACGGTGTCAATTTTATGATGGAGACTAGTGTATTGGGAGCCATTTTTGGTATGCCCACTGATGGGATGTCATCCATTGAGAGGGTCTGCTCTACAAATTTCAGAAACGCCATTGTGAAGGATAAGGCAGTACAACAAGGGGAACAGGTACACAAGAAGGCACTCCTTCCAGTGTACCAACTGCTGTTCGAAATGGTGAACAAAGTTCTGCTCCCACGTGCTGAAAGATGCTCAATTACATCACGAGCGGACTTGTTTCTCATGGAAGCACTGGATGGCTACACTACCATAAACCTGCCTGGTCTTATGATAGAGCATATGAAAAAAGTAGCAGAGTTCAAGGAAGGTAATCATGGGTTGCCTTACGGGTTTCTCCTCACTAAAGTGTTTGAATTCTTCAAGGTTCCCTTGGGACAGGCTAAAGAAGGAACTCGCAAGCAATCTTTCTCCAAAACCACCCTTGAAGAGTGTGAGTGCATTGAAAGGAGTGGAGGGGTAGGCAACAATTCGACCATTTCTCAGTTGATCAACGCTCAAAACAGTGCTATTGAAGAAATAAGGAAGCTGAAGGCTCGGAATGCCATTCTCGAGGTCAGCTCAGTCAGACCCAGGAGGCAACTGGTTCCAGTAGTGCCCAAAACACAGAGGTTGCCCGCCTGACAAAGGAAAATGCTGCTCTCAGGAAACAGGTTGAGGACCTGAAGGAAAGGTTGCTAACCGAGCAAGGGTCTGCAAATGCTCGTATGGACATCCTTCTTAGAACTCCTGCCTCTTCCTCTGCCTCCAGTGCTCCCCCTTCCAGTGCTCCTTAATAGCCGTCATGTTCCCAGTGTTAAGTTCCTAGTGTTCGTCCTCTGTTTTTAGTCTTAATGATGTTTATGACTGGTACCGTTTGTTGTTTTTATTTTGTGGATGTTTTGGTAACAATGGAACTGCTCCCTGCTTAATTTCCAAAAATTAATGAAAGTTTCGTCCTTTTGCTGTGTATGTCTTGCTCTTTTGCTCTATTTTTAGTCATGATTGTGTGCACACATGTGGCATGAGTTAACCAAGCTAGACTTTTTTTGCTTGCTACTGATCTTTTTATGATGCCAAAAGAGGGAAAAATAATTGAGGGGTCCGGGGAACAGATTTAGGGGGAATACAGGAAACTGATCTACCATTATGGCTCTTAGGGGAAACTTCAATTATAAGTTTGTCATCATCAAAAAGGGAGAAATTGATAGGTTATACGTATCCCTATTATATTTTGATGATCTAACAAACTTATTGATAAGAACCAGATAAGGAACCTGTTACACATTCTCAAGTACTTAAAGAATAATAAGTCTTAGTTCGGGGACGTGGTTCAACTCTTCAGAATCAACGAAACAACAGAGGGAATAGATGGTCACCAGTTCCCGTGGTGACTGTACAAGTCAACTCCTCACAGCTGTAAAGTTGCTGCCTGCACACGTAACAGTGCAAAAATAGTGCACCAGTCAACTTTATGGGAAATGCCCTTTACCTAACTTGCTTACATCATTCAAGTGATGTCACAAATGAGTTATTTACATCAATCAAAGGTAAAACAAAACACTTGCACATTCAAGAATCGATCAAGCATTTTCTCTCAAGTCTGTGCCAATCTTGCAATTGATTCTCAAGGGCATCAAGAACAAAGAACAATATAACGAAGGACCAGTTTCATGTATTGAGTCATTACATGTCCCTAGTTGTGTTGTACCTTTGTTAAAGTTCTTTACTTGTAATTCCTACTTAGCTTAGTTAGAAGCATTGTATAGGAAACCTTTGTAAATCATAAACCCTTGTATTTGTGTCTTGGCTAGAGTTAGTCGAGTTGTAAGTTTTTGTAACAGAGTTATTACAAAGTGGCTTATAATAGGGTTGTTACAAGTTAGTAAGGGATTAAGAAGTTAATTCTCAGGTTACAATAGGTTGTAATCTAAAGTTTGCTCAGTAGTGAAGTTGAAGTCCTACAAGGGTAGGTCGTCGTTTTTAATCCCGTGAGTTGAGAATTTTTCACGTAAAACTTCTTTGTGTCATTTACCTACAGCAGTGTGCGTGTGTTCCGTAGGAACTAATAGAGAACCTGGTTCTCTATATAGTTTGATGGACCCTTAAATTCTTTCAAATATAGTATATAAAAAGAAAACTCGATAACTTGATTAGTCTTATAGTAGATAAGTGACCATGGTTCTAGGTAGCCGAAATGAGGATGTTGAGATGGATGTGTGGGCACACTAGGCTGGATAAGATTAGGAATGGGGATATTCGGGAGAGAGTGGGCGTGGCTTCCATGGACAATAAGATGCGGGAAGTGAGGCTTAGATGGTTCGGGCACGTGTGGAGGAGGAGCCTAGATGCCCCGGTTAGGAGGTGTGAACAGTTGGCTTTGACAGGTACAAGGAAAGGTAGAGGGCGACTTAAGAAGTATTGGGGCGAGGTGATCAGGCAGAACATGGCACAACTTCAGATTTTCGAGGACATGGCCCTGGACATGGAGGTGTGGAGGTCGAGTATTAGGGTTGTAGGTTAGGGATAGTTGAGCGTTTTTTTCTCGTTTTTCCGGCTAGTCTGATAGTGTTTTGTGTAGGACTGCTAGCGGTTTTTGTTTCATCACACTATTTTTATTTTTATTTTTAATTTCTATTATTACCATAATTATTGTCCTTCCACTTATTTGTGTCTCTTATGGTGCTGATATTATTTATCTGGTTTCTGTTGTTGTTACAGATCTTTTATCTCTGAGCCGAGGGTCTCCCGAAAATAGCCTCTCTACCCCTCCGGAATAGGGGTAAGGTCTACGTATACTCTACCCTCCCCAGACCCCACTAGTGAGATTATTACTGGGTTGTTGTTGTTGTAAATTTCTGTTTGGACTTATTCTAGATTATCTTACTTTAATTTTACATTCAATTATTTTGTTTTCCTTTTAATAGTGTTATAAAGTATGTGGTGGTAGGAAATAAGTAGAACTAATTAAATGTAGGTAAATGTGAAACCCACATGTGATGATGCGTTAAATCTAAACAAATGTTAAATACATTATAAATCTGATTACCAAAAAAGAAATTATTTACGCGCTCAAACATGATTCGAAAACACGCAAGTGGCCATGTCTGCATGAGGAGTCAAGGGGATACACTTCAGCCAACTTAAAGTGCTTATTTGGTCACTAACTAAATTTAAGTATCTAACTTACAAAATACACCAAATTTAAGGGGCTACTTAGGTATTTATCCTTTCTCTATTATAGGTTCTATCATAATCAAATGACCAAGGACATTAAAAAGAAGTGAATGTTCTGAGTATTTAACATTCTAATGGTTCGGGTATAGTTGAATAAAATGCCCAGAAAATTATGCTTAATTATAACACCTCAAGTAAAGGTTTTATAGAGTTTGGAGTACTTTTAGAAAACTGTCATTTCTTGCTAAGCAGAAATCCTAATTGTCATTTCTTGGTGAGCGAATCTAGTTGCTCATTGCTTGGTACGAGAGTCTAGAAATTATGCTAGTCTTTTCTTTTTGGAGTATGCTCCTAGTTTTATTGTAACTTATTGGTTGCTGATTTACCTAATAAAAGTTTTTGTTTAAGTTAAAAAAAACATTAAAAATAAAGCAATTTAAGAGAAATTTTCATAAAGAATTATAGTTTAGAGCCTAATTACATACATAACTATAGTTTGCTTAGTTACCATCGTAGCTACTGTTTAATTTTACCATCTTGTATATCTTGTATTCAGACGCACAACGAATACAACATGTGTAAACTATATTCTTTCGCGGTTTGAGTAGAAGGCTATCCCACAATCCTTCATGAAAACCCTCTTTAAAGCATATATCGCGTCGTTTAAGACACAGTAACCGTCTTTAATGTTAGATTCATCGTTGGACCTTGTTACCATGACGTCATAAAAAAGAAATTTTTCTCTTCACACCTCAAATCAAGAGGGAGGATTGCTTGCCAAGCTGACCTATATATAATAATAATTTTTTTATATTTTATATTATTATATAATTATAAAAAAATAGAAAGATTCGCTTTCTTTTAACCGGCTCCTTCTTCTTTGTCAATGCTACTAAGGACCTATATATTTGCCTATTTTACTTATTAAAGATAATGAGAATAGAAGCTTTAGCCCTTGAACCTAAAACGGCTTTTATGAGTTGTCTCTGTAGTGACCGACTTTATTTATTAGTTTTATGATTAGTGGCTTAGTTGTTAGCTGTCTAAAAGCTACGGTAAATAAAATTTCTTTTGAAAATAAATCACTAATCCGCCTTAGGTACTCTTTTAAGTCAGTGTAAGAAGGAGAAAATACGACATGTATCAACTATATTCGTTCGCGCAACAAATACAACATATATCAACGCGAACGAATACAACTAAGGTGAAATATATGGGTGTATACAAAGGATACAACATGTATCGACTGTATTCGTTGCGCATGCAACCAAGGTGGAATACAGAAATACATAAAAATAGAATTATCTCGTTGAGAGTCGAACTCAAGACCTCTACTTACTAAGCGGGTGGTCTAACCAAGTGAGCTACAAGAGCTTGTTGCTCTTTTGTTTCAGTTCAAAATAATTGATTTCTTATTTCAGTACTTTCAAGTAGATTTGCTATAAAATTCAACTATAACTACGAATGATAATTTTCTGAAAGTATAACTAAGAATGATAAATACCGTGTACTCCTGTATGTTTATTGTGTCGCAAAAGTTTTTCCTTTTTATTTGGTCAGGGTGGCAAATAACAATGATTGGGTAAGAGCCCATTATGGAACATGTTTGAGCCCAAACTGTAAAGTGGCATGTGATTCTGGCCCAAAAAGAGCGCCGCCAAGAGCTTAATCGTTGGGGTAAGGGCAAATACGTACATTACACTCCTTTCCGACAAACCGTCAGAATCCTCAAGTTTTCTTGATAACCAAGACGAGTCTCTCTATTTATGTGTTTTGAAACCCAAAAACGCCTTTCTTCATCCAAAAACTTACCCCTTTATTCTAAATCTAAAAAATCTACTGATAACGATGAAGAGTAATTCTTCAGAGACGAAATTCGTGCAAGAGTTGATTCTGTACGCGGCAAGCGCTGCTCTTAGCTGCCTCGTGTTGTTTGTGGGGCTCCGACAGCTTGACCCGAACCGGGAAGCATCCAAGAAGGCTCTGGAACACAAGAAGGAAATTGCTAAGCGTCTGGGCCGACCCCTCATTCATACCAATCCTTATGAGGTCATTATCCAATCTTGCCTAATTTTTTTCGGCTCAGATATACCGTAATAGTTTATAAAGTTGCTTACTTTTATTTTCTCAACTAGTACTTATTTCCAGAGGCCAGTATTACCTCGGTCCTAATTTAGTGTGTATATATATATATATATTTTCTTAAAACTTTATATATAGTTTGAGCCAAATGCAGCTAAGTTCTTTTTAACGCGGACTTCAATATACATTACCCTTGTGCTTATTTTTGGTCTTGGTTTTTGCTCTTATCTCCTAGTTCTGGATGCTACTGGCTTATTTATGGTCAGAGGTGAAATCACGATTTAAATTTAATGGGTTCAATATTTAGATTCTTACCGCCGAACACATTACACTTAGTGAAATTGTGAATTCATATTTTAATGGTTTTTTTAGTTCTATTAATTGTGAGCAATGGTACTTGTAGATGAAAGTTGTAAAGGAGATTTCAGTCTGCTAATCTTGGTTAATTTTGCAGAGATTTTGGATTTATATTTTCAGATGCTATTAATTAATACTAGTATTTATGTTGAATGAGCCTGCATAATACAACACTTTTGGCTAAAGTAATATTGATGGCGTTGGGTGTGTTAAAGAGAGTCCTTAGCCAGTGTTGTTAAAGGCTCCTTTGAGGTGCGCTTAAGCTCCAAAGCTCAAAAAAGCTCAGGGTATGCACTTTGCCTCACTTAGGTTGTGCTTCAGTGTAGGCAAGAAACTAAGGCCCACGCCTCATTGCCAATAAGTTCTAACTTGAATAGAGTGGTACAAAACAATAAATATAATTGGCTAAAAGATATTATCAATTTTTAAGGAAATCATTATGAATGGACTTGTTATTTTCTTTCTTGCATTACATATGTACTTTTAGTTTTTTCTTCGTTGCGCCTTTTTTAACTAAAGCCCAAACTTTAATTGTGCTTTGCGCTTAAAGCCCTGATAGACCTGGAGCGCTTTTTAATGCTTTTCGCCTTTGACAACACTGTCGTTAGCTTTTAGAACTTGCGCCCTCCTACTTCTTGTGAAATTGTTGTATTTGTGAGTCTGACCCACTGTTCTAAAATTTTGGTTTAGGTGATATTTATTTATTGAAGATGATAGTATACTTTTATTTGTCTTTATCATTCTGAATTATTAGAGTATCGGATAGTGCACATTATATTCACTTCTTTTGATTAGGATCATTTTCCTATTGATTTATGAGAGCTTCCCCCCAACACAACCTTCAACATAGTATTTAAGGGAATAATAGCCTGTGATATCTGAAAAGTTTAGGTTTAAAGACATATTTGGTTCAGTTATATTTTATCCAAGGGTGTGGCCTAGTGGTCAATATAGTGGGAGGAGAACCATGAGGTCTTAGTTTTGATTCCTAGAGGCGGCAAAAAACATTAGGTGATTTCTTCACATTTGTCTAAGCTTTGGCGGGCAGAGTTACTCGATGTCTATGCTGGTGAGAGGTAGCAGGTACCCGATGGAATAGTCTAGGTGGGGAAGCTGGCCGGAACACCACTGTCATTAAAAAAAGGTTTAAGTTATATGATTTATTTTTTAGCAGCATAATTCTTTCTTGGTGTGAATAATTTTGGTGAATCAGACTTGTAGTTTTAATTTGTAGTTGAAAACTATCATTCTCATATTAAATTCGATCATTTTCATATTGAGATGGGATAACTTATCGCTCTTTTGTACTTTGTGTTAACAGGATGTGATAGCCTGTGATGTAGTGAACCCTGATCATATAGATGTGGAGTTTGATTCCATTGGTGGGTTGGAATCCATTAAGCAAGCATTATATGAATTAGTAATTCTTCCCATGCGGAGACCTGAGCTATTTTCTCATGGAAAGCTGCTGGGTCCGCAAAAAGGAGTCCTGCTTTATGGACCACCTGGGACTGGAAAGACTATGCTTGCCAAAGCAATTGCTAAAGAGTCTGGTGCGGTTTTTATTAACGTGAGAATATCAAATCTGATGAGCAAGTGGTTCGGTGATGCACAAAAATTAGGTGAGTGTAGATCTTACCTTCAGTTTGCAGGGTTCTTTCCTCAGCAGTATCTTCTCTTGGGTGTGTTGTTTGACTTGCTGAAATTTGCATGACTGCATTGAATTTTCTGAGTCTTATTTTAGTGAGTGTTATTGAGGGCCCACAAGCATTACACTCGGTCCAAAACGAAGGTATCCGAGAGAACATAAGTACTATGTCATGTTACTCTAAAGTCTATACCACGAGGAAGTCGCTAATTTTGGCTGGTCCTTTCTACGTTCATCTCGGTTTTGGCATTCTGCATGACCTCAACAGGACAGATGATCTGCTAATTTTAAAGATCTCTTTCAACATTTTGTTCAGTGTTGTTAAAGGCGCGCTTAAAGCGCGCTTAAGCCCTGAAGCGTGGCTCAAAACATGTTGAGCGCTTCGCCTCGCTTTGTGGGCGCTTCAGTGTTGCATCAAGGCTTTTCCTTGCCATCGAGTGTAATCCTGAAAAGGTGACACTAAATAATTGATATTTCACTTTATCGTAATTTTGTTTTTCAATTTCTTTGTCCATATATTAGTTATTCATGCTTATAATTATTGGTCTTAGACTACATATACATATTTTTACTCTTTCTCTAGTTGCGCCTTTTTTCATTAAAGCCCACGCTTTATTTGCGCTTTGCGCTTGAAGCCCCAACGGATTTTGGAGCTTTTTTGCGCTTTTCGCCTTTGATAACACTGATTTTGTTATCGACGGGACTTCTTTTGCTATGAACAGTGCTACATGAACTAGTGAAGTTGGAGATTTGAGGAAACAGGAGAGCCTAACTTTCCTGTTACTTATTAGGAATAATTTTCAAAATAATGTTGGCTAAAGCACCAAAAGTAGCTAGAGACTTTTGAGAGATAAAACATAAACGCCAAATCAAGATATTTGTCAATATTTTTTGGATAGGTCGTGATTCTTGGCTGAGCTCTATTCAATTTCTGCACTTATTTGTTAGTTGATTTATATGCCAATTAGATTTGGAAATAAGAAAAGGAAGACGTTTTGATTAATTTTGAGACTCATTTACTGTGTGGCAATGATATCATCCAACTCTGAAACACTTGACGCTTTTAAAATGTCTCTAATGTAGTGGTTTCCTTAGCTCTTTAAATTGCTTTAGTGCAGTTAGTATGTAAATAACTTGTGCACTCATTTATGTAATGTTTGAGTTTTAGTTTCCGCTATCTTGCAGCTCTTTTTACTTTTTAGAAAACTTGCCAGCTTAAAGGGTCAGTGAGGTTCTAATTGTGTAAAGTGATGCCCGTTTAAATGGATTATTTAAGTGCCACAAATGGCTCCCCACATCTGCTGAGGAGGAATTTCGGGAGGAAAATGTTGCAAAGTAGATAATGGGATTTAATGCTTCATCTACCTGGCATAGTGGCATGGACTTTGGAGAAAGTTCAGGATATGGGGTATGTTCAAGGCTTAATAAAAAATTAAAAAAAGAAACTTGAATCATGAGCTTTCGTACTTCTTTGCTTCATATGTTTTGGTGGAGAAGTAGTCTATGCTGTAAGTTCATACGTGCTCTCCATCAAGCTACCTGCATAGACATGATCGATAACTCATTCGCAGTCATCAACTTAGTTGCTCCATATAATTTTATTTCCTCAGAAAAAATTAGAAAAATAATTTCATCTCCTCAAGTTGGGGGGATACCTTTGTTTTAAAACCAAAAGTGATATGCCTCCGCGGCTTTGGTTTAGTGGTAAGAGCACAATGCGTGATGTATGCTTAGGCGCATGTCACGAGTTCGAACTCTACCTTAGGCGAGATCCTAGTATTTAACTGGAGATGGGTACAAGTGCATTATGCACCGAGTTTCTAACCTTATGCCGCTGGCCCTCGGGAATTATCAAAGGAAAAAAACAAAAGTAATATAAGAAAAGTGATGCATTCATCACCATGGAGTATTCGGCTGATTTGAGGCTTGATCCTAGGTAGAACAATTGGAAACTAGTGGGCTTTCCATTGTCTTAACAGCAAAATGGATCTCGAGGAAGAAGAAGCTGTGAACTTTGCTATGCTATAAAACTCAGGTGCCTAGAAATTCGGCTCGAATTCCTCATGAATAACCCCTAAGTTGAGGTCATTTAAATCCTTAAAGCCATAAATATTATATCGTAATCCTAATTACACGCAGAGGGCTCTTACTTGAATTCTCTGTAGTGTGGCTTGTGTGTATGATTTGTGTATTCCCTCATATCATATAATGTCTTAAAATTTCCTTTAGTTCTCTGTAGTATGTCAGCACAGTACCATACTAACTAATTGATACTTATTCTTGTGAAAATTGCAGTTTCTGCCGTATTTAGTTTGGCATATAAGCTCCAGCCAGCAATTATATTTATTGATGAAGTGGATAGCTTTTTGGGTCAGCGCAAGACTTCAGATCATGAAGCATTAACAAATATGAAGACTGAATTCATGGCTTTATGGGATGGTTTTACCACAGATCGTAAGTTCACTGCTGAATCTGTTGAATACGTTGCAGTAGTGTTCTCGCACCTTGCGAATATATATATATATATATATATATATATATTGTGTGTGTCTGTAGACGGGAACTGATTGGTGAACTTCATATCACTTTGTACTCCACATCCAAAGATAGTTGGGTTTGGCATATAAATCCTCACTATCATTTATGTATTTTGAGGATTCTATCATAATTTGAATAGTCATGTCTTTTATCTAGTTAATGTGGTCTAGCTTTGGGGTTCTGTTGGCTCTAATCATCATGAAATGCCTGATGTAGAGAATGCACGGGTAATGGTTCTTGCTGCAACTAATCGCCCATCTGAGCTTGATGAAGCAATTCTTCGACGTCTTCCTCAGGCCTTTGAGATTGGATTCCCCGACCGTAGAGAGAGAATTGAGATTCTGAAGGTGATCCTGAGGGGAGAGAGAGTGGAAGATAACATTGACTATGACCGCATTGCTAGTTTATGTGATGGATACACTGGTTCAGATCTTCTTGAGCTCTGTAAAAAAGCTGCCTACTTTCCTATCCTTGACCTGCTTAATGACGAGAAAAATGGAAATCCTTCCGCGGTTAGTATTGTTTTATTTATTTTTTTAGAAATTCTATATTGAATTTATATTGGCTTAGAAATCTTTACTCTAGTAAGCAACCTATGGCTTATCCATTGACACTCATTGCTTGGGGTTCCCAACAAATAGAAAAATAAGGGAAAAAGAAAATAAAGATTTGCTTTGAAATATAAATTTACCATTTCTTTGGGTTACGAGGAACCTTAGCTGATCAACTTGAACTGCTCTAATTTTGAGCAGATCTGTACACCGCAGACACAGAGGGAGGCATCAGTACCTAGAAAGGGAATCTTTTATAGATGTCCTTCCTTCACGGTTCATTAAAATTAAATTATGTCTAGCCTTTTCAAGACCTCAAATCTGATTTTTTTTGTAATTTTTTAACCTCAACTCTGATTTTAACATGTCCTTGAAGAAAAAGAAAAGTATTCTTCAAAAAGTAAAGAATCCTTTCATTTTGTTTTTCAACCATTCCAATCTGCAACTGTGACATAGTTGGTGGTCGACCCTGGATTACTGGACTTGCATTCTCGAGATTGGTGAATTATAGCACCTATTTGTGATTTTAGTTTCTGCTCGATTGTTTGGTTGATTTCTATTACCCTGTGCTTGGAATTGGGAAGATTTGCTAGGGAAAATTGTCACTGTATTTGCACGGCATTTCGAGGACATACTTGTTTCTGTTTATCTTCACAAGATTGTCACGAGACAAAGTTGCTTAACTTGGAGAATATCTTTTCTGTATCTCTTCAAGCAGGAGCCAAGGCCATTATCAGAATCCGATTTGGAGAAAGTTGTAGCTACGTCAAAAAAGACACAGGTTGCTGCAAATGAATACAATACATTACGTTCACAGTTTGTTGGATTGTCAAGGCACACAGACAGAGATGATTATCCAGTCCAAGCTGCAATTAGCGAGCTTTCTAAGCTTGTGGTTTCACAAATTTTAAATCTCCAGATAGATAACCAGGATTCTTAATCGCCACTAGCAATTGCCACAGACGGGAAGATTTTGGATTGTGTATATTGATTGACATACTTTTTACGGGTCACTGGGTGAAGTGAGTATTTCAGTAATTTTAATGTTGTAGGAAATTTGAGCAATTTAGTTGACAGTCATTAACAATGGGCGTAGATGCTGTTGTACCGCTTATTGAATAGAACGACAGCTATTTATCTGTGGATGGTTGAGAAAGTTTAATGGCATATGCATAATGGAATAGCCGCTCCTATCATTTTTGTTGGCGGACCAGTTTCTCCTTTTTCCTAATAATCTTGTCTATGAGAAGCTGAGAGTTGGCATACTAACTACGAACAAATGTGGGATATTTTATGACATTTTGTTGATTGAAAACGTCAAGAAGTGCTTGTGGTTGGAGATGCGTATTCTGCTTTTTTCCTCTTTCTTAGTTGTGAGAACTAAGTGGATGGGGATAGGCTTGTTTATGAGGAGAATACTTTGATTGGCATGACTTTTGATGGCTTTGACCTCAACTAGAAAGTGTAGGACATTCTTCCTCATTGGTTAAGTACAAATATTTTTAGGCTACCTAATTTGTTAGGCCTTCCTTTCTCTATTAAATAATAACTAGTTTAGTGTACGTAAATATATGTGCAAGAATAATGTGTTTGACTACAAATGCTTCATCCCGATTTTGTATTTTTTTCTTATCAATTTAGCATTGATATATTTGTGATAATTTTCATATATACTAACCTTAGTTTGTATTATATTTTCAATTATTGTAATTTTAAGGGGGCAAAAATTTAGAAAACAATCTGGAAAATTAGAGTTTTTGAATAAGAAAAATGAATCTAGTAATCTAAAAAATTTTAGGGTTATTCTGACCATTTTATTCCCTTCTTTTGAGTCGTTTGTTTATTCTGATCTCAAAAAAGTTTATACAACCAAAACTGGCATGAGAACAATATATAAATCTATATCTATCTATACTATATTAAAAGTGGGAAGCCCACCATTAAAAAGTTGAATTACCAAATTACCCTTCTAATAATATATATTTATATTTTACAATAATAATTAAAAAATATTTTAAAATATTAATTTATATTGTGTCTTTTCTTAATAGTTGTGTTCTTTTATTAGTAACTAATTTTAAAAAAAACTATTTGGCCATTAGAATAGAACTACGTATTTATTGAAAAAAATGATGCCTTGAATTGAAGGGTTGTGATCCTTCAGATTAGCAAAATATTTTTTAAAATGTGTTCCTTCACATTTAAAAATCAAGAGCCCATCTTTATTTAACTAAAAACCCTATCTATTTAAGAAAAAAAGCTACAAATGCTTCATAGTCTATTTCTAAAGTTGTTACCGCAAAATTTGTCACCATTTAGTTCCTTAATTACATTAGAAAATCAAGAGATGGGTTGTCCAATTAAAACTAGTGACAAAAGTAGGTAAAAGTGCAATAAGAGTTGACTCGTGAGACAATTAGTAAGTACTTTTTTTTTTTTAATATATGTTTGTTATTTCAAGTTGTATTCTATAGGAAGAAGGTAATCGACTTAGATGATCTTCTCAATGATTTTTATCAAGCGAAGAGCAACATAACTAAGAAGGAACCCAAACACACAAAGATTCAAAAGTCCTACCATACAAGAGAAGCAGAGCTCTATCAACAATAACATACATGAATATAGCTTTCGAAATTAATTTCAAGTCCGTCAATTATTCTTGCACAATTTTAATTACGATTTGAATTATTTACGTTTGTTTGAATAATTTTTTAGAATTGAACTTGTTATGCCAAACTAGGATGAGAATGAAATTGGTTTCGAATACTAGGCTTACATTTGAAATATGTGCTAGATAGATGTTGACTTCTACTGTATGTTGCTACTTCTACTGCTTGACTTTGTATCGTGATACTACTCTTTTTTTTCTTTCTATTTTTCGAATCATACCTATTTCAACAATTCCTTCTACCTTTGCGTATAGATCGGTGCATTGAATTGTATATTCATAGTAATTTTTTCCCTGTAATTGAGCTTTAGCAAATTTTTGTATCGATCCCTTCTATTATGAAAAGAATCACATACTGTCATTATTCTGTTTACCATCTCTAAGATTTGTCAAAGGTTTGTTGTATACATCTTGAATAAGTTGAACTCCTTACTGCACTCTCTCCCAACAATGTATCTATTAATTTACTTATTCAGGCTGGGAGAACCTTAGGGCAACAAAATGGCATGATGTATTTACCGAAGAAGGTTATCTTGCCATTGGCAAAACATGCTTAGTCGAATTCATTTTGTGGTAAGCTTGCTTCTATTTGGTTGATTTTTCCCCCTTTTTTGCTCTTTGTTGGGTACGATTCAATGAATACGCATTAAATATGATTTTATTGCCAAGATGAATAGCATATGAGATTACTAAACATCAAGTATCTAAGGCGTAATAGGGGATTCTTCTTTCAAAAGTCAAGTTTGTGAATTTTTACTTTGTTGCTTTGATCCAAACGACAACATATTGAACAACGACGGTAGTATTTTACTCCCCCTCCCCAAAGTTCTGAAAACTTATAGAGCTCTTGAATATTGCCTAAGTTCAGAATGCATAACATGTGCAAGTTAGTCACTTGACTGTAACAGATTAAAATGGAACATTATTGTCGGATGATAAACCCATCAATTCATCAAAATAACTAAACTCTATTTTTAGCTATCAAATTTGATGAGTTCGTATAATCATGAGAAATAATTTTAATACTGTATTTTTGAAACTTTTTATAAACTCATGATCTTTTGGCTTTGAAGAGTCCACATTGTAATCTATCTATATATTTAAATAAAGTTGGCTCCAAAAGATGTGCTCTCAAGCCTCATCATTAGTCCTATTAATCGCAAATTATGTATTTACAACTTTATATTTCAAAGTTATGTTTAGTTTTTTGCATGGAAAAGTTAACTTTATCTTGATATAATACGAGTGGATTTCTTATAAAAAAAATATAAAATATACGTGCAACGCACATGCAGAGAGACTAGTAAATATCAAATATGTGAATAAAGTTACAGACGAACATAAAAAATACTAAGCAACATGAAATTTAAATCAATAATCAAAGCTTGGATCATAAATTAATAGGATTATGTCATCATGCCAATAAAGTTTTTACAAGAACTATGAAATACATGGCACATTAAAAGTAATCTAAAAGACTAAAAGAATTCATTCCTCCTAATCTCATCCTAAAATCATATGAATCTATCAGATAAATAAATATCAAATACAAAAATATAATAGAAGAAAATCAAACTTTTCTGTAAAAACCTATAAGAAAGCGAACTAAATAACTTTCAAAAGCCTATCCAACAATTAATAACTAACCATGGAAGCTTACGAACAGACAAAATATTAAAATAACAATACATGTGTAGAAATAATTGAAAGTTTCAAACCGGAAAAGAGGAAAAGAGGTTTCTGAACGTAAAATCAATAGGTAATTTGACTTCTGTTTGTAGTCCTACGGGCAGTCAAATATGTACTTATTGGAATTTTTTTCCAACTTTTCTGTCAAATAAAATTTACTACATTCGAATGTTAGAAATTACAATTACACCAACATATTTTCGTTAAGGAAATCAATTCAAATCATTAGATCTTGATAAATAGTGGATTGAATTTAAATTCAATTTTCCTTATTTGGCCATGAATTAGAGCTTTATGGTGATTTTATTGCGCGAGCAAGTTCGCATGAAATTTCTAGATTTGTGTGGATGTTTGGCGTGGAGCCTCGAGGGCTCGGGTGAGTTTCAGGGTGGTTTCAGACCATTTTTAGACCATTTTCAGTTGTTGGTTTTTAGCTGCAGGGGTATGCATCGCGATCACAAACATTTGGTCGCGTTAGCGAAGAGCAAACTGCAGTTTGGGGCCTTGTGAATCGCGATCGCGAAAGCCTTTTCGCGATCGCATAGGAGAAATTTTTGCTTCATAGGGCTAAATTTGGAAGCTTATATCTTGCAATCTATAAGGAATTTGGAAATGATCCAAAAATAAAAGTTGTAGCTATTGATGTCTAATTGTCAGAAAGTCAAACCATTTATCATTTGGAATTTTTTTACAAAAAGTTATGATTATTATACTAGAGGCTATCTAGGAAGAGTTTGGAAATCGCTGTTGAAGAATTTGTTCATCGCGATCGCGAAGGAATGTCCGCGGTCGCGAAGGAGGAAGCCTAGGTAGTGGATTTAATGTCCAATTTTGGACCTTCGAGCTATTTATCCATATTTTGAGTTGGGGACCTCGGGATTTAGCGACTTTTGAGGCGATTTTCATCACATGAATTGGGATAAGTGTTCTCTACTCGCTTTTGATTTTATTTCATGAATCTATCTTCGTTTTTGGTATTTGATTGATGATTTCAAGAGAGAAATTGGGAAATTTTGTCTAAAGTTTTATAGAGTGCATTTTTGAGTTTTAAACATCGATTCGGAGTCGGATTTGAGTGAAACTAGTATGGTTGGACTCGTAATCGAATGGGTTGTTGGATTTTATAAGTTTTGTCGGGTTCTGAGGTGCGACCTAGATTTGACTTTTTGGTTGACTTTGGGCTTTTGATGTATTTGAGTTGCTTTTGGTTAGTTTTGAGTCGTTCAGAGGCGGTACGCGCGGGATGGCATTTTTGGAGTATCGTTTGGCTTGCTCGGTATTGGATTTGGCTTGTTCAAGATAAATAATACTCCAAAACTTGGGGCGGAGGGTATGAAATCCCAAATTACATATTATGTGATTGATGTTGAGGTGATGCGCATGCTAGGTGACGGGCGTATGGGCGTACACCGTGTGAATTATGATTTAGTCGATTCCATAGAACTGTGTAGCTATCGTATCTAAACATTTTTACTGTACTCTATATGTTAGAGCACTTGAGCTATAATTTATGCTAGATATCACGTTTAAGCTATATGCTGGTACTATTAGGACCCACAGTGGTCGTTCTTTGCTGTTGAGTTATTTGCTTATTTGCAGTTATGTACTCAGTCGCATTCATCATTATGTATCATATCTCAGTCTCTGTTATTGTATATTGTCACATCTTGTATCACTGATTAGGGTTGCTTAGCATGAGTGTTATGAGCCCGAGAGACTAGAGAGATTGATGACTGAGTGAGGCCGAGGGCCTATCATGAGTGATATTTATGGGATCGGGCTACACGCCGCAGTAGGCTTTATTGATTCATGCCAGGATTTTGCTTATTATAGCGCTTGGGCTGGATCGGCCCCTCCGGAGTCTGCACATCCAC